TTAAAAGGAATTAGAGTTACTGTACACTCCACGTTCTATTACATGTTGATTTGGTAACCTTCCCCTGGGATTGACTGATCCCTTGAGCTACCAAGTATAAACAAACAACAAATCAACCCCCTGAATTTATTATCATAAAACTTGCATTGTTATTTTGTTATTTTTTAACAAAATCTTGCAGTTGTGACTTTAACCCTGGATGTTTGAAAAAAAGGTGAAAGATGCCTCCAATTTCACATCATAGTTAAAAAACAAAAAAGAAAATCAGGAATGAAGGAAAATACAGCCTACAAGATGCTAGTTGAGTCTTAATGCAACTTTCCACTGTAACTTGTCTCTGAATTTATGCCCTGAAGAAAGTATATTTTCATAGCTGGACCCCTGGCTTATATAAATCCAGGAAACTCATTGTGAGGCTCCTGACCCGTTCAAGCAAACCGTAAAAAAAAGGTAACAAATCTAAATAAAAGTCATGGAAAGCTTTCATAAGGGAGTTACAAACCTGAGAGTTTGTATTTGAGACTCTCACGCCTACTTGACAGCTCTTGCCCAGTACTCCTGTGCAGCCACAGAAGGCTACTTAAGGTTAGATTGGTAAGAAAAATACAGAGCAAAGACGTGTTTTGCTAAGATGACTGAAATAGTGAGATGAAGTGATTTGGATGAGGTCAGTCTCTAATAGTTTAGAGAGGATTACAAACAGTTACTGGCCCTCAATCTGTTGCTGTAATTACTGAGCTACTTGAGTTCTTTGCAGAACAACTCAGGTATTGGTGTTACTGCTCTTGGAATTACCAGTAATAAATTGAAACATATAGTCCTCTGGGTTCTATTTAATGGGAGGTGAAAGTGTCCCATCTCAAAAGTGCAGAACAGTGTCACGTTTACCAAAAATCTGGACGGAGTTAAACCTGGGCTTTTACGAAGCTGCACCGGCAAATAAAGTAATACAGCTTTAAATTATGCAACATTAATTGTTCTTAAATAATGAAGAGCAAGAACATGTAAATAATAACAAACAAACAGAACACAACCTAATGTTCCACTAAGTTTTTATTATAATGACCCCTGGGTCTGTTGGGCCAGAGTGACAGCTCCTAATCAGCACTTCTCAACAGGCTGCTGGTACTCACTTGTTTGTAATTAGCAGGGAGAGACTAAGAGGGCTTTTTTGACTCATTTGTTTTTATTTAGATAAAGACAACAAGCCTCCTCCTTGGGGGGAAAAATAGCCCCAACACATTTACTTGCTGCAATTACTCCCTTACTTATGTGGAATTCTGGCCTGCTGGAATAGATAAGACTCACAAAACACAGATTTCCATTTTACACAGGGTTAGCAGTGCACAGATTTAATTAAGTTTAGTGATATAAAATGTCAATAAACAAAAGCATACAAACTGCACGCTTTATGCTTCAGTAACTACTGGATTTGTAGAATCTCTATAGGGCAATGGTTGTTATTGAGGTCATAAGCAGGCGAAAAGTTTCTAAGAGCGAGGGACTAAATACAACCTAAGCTGAAAAGAAACATGAAAAGTGACTGTCTTTTCATAGATAAATGGGGCAAAAGTATTTGTTTCCATAAATCCATAATTACCACAAACAATGGACATAATGACCTTGTCATTCTATGCTTTTCTACAACCTCAGAGTGAAATCCAGCTTCAAAGCCAAGGAATGCTGGGATATATTAGAATTAGATACTGTAACACCAGGGACTGATCCTGTAGCATTCTGATGCTTGACAAATTGCTACTGGCTCATTAAAAACCAGCACATGGATTTTACAAGTTGTAGACATGGTCTGTAAAACAGTGTCCCAGTGACAGCCAATTCAGCAAGGGGAAGAGAACAGGTCTGAAAATAATGGCATGTTTTAAATAATGAATTAATTACTTTGCATCTAAGCTCCTAACTCTGTTTTAAGGCATAAATGGAAATTCTTAGCTGAGGAAAATGTTATGGAGTTTGCTAAAATATTTCATGTCAGCTGTCATATGTGACTGTGGAACCAGAGGGGGAAGCAGCAGCTATTTTAAGTATTTTAAAATTTAGCATGCTATGAGGGTGGAGTAATCATGTTAATACTTAATATTTACAATGTATTTTATTTTTTTTCAAGATGTACTCACTAACTGTCATGAGAATTACGTGGATTTGTTAATTAAGTCGCTGTTATCCTTATTTTAAAACAAGGGGGTTTAGCTGTGGGTATTTGGAGTGGTTAATCACACAGTGAATGCAGCAGAATCAGGATTAGAACAGGATTGTCTCGTTTCCTGTCCCTGTTTTAATCAACTTGGTATTCTTGCCTGTCTAGATCATTCTGTATTTAATTTTTAATCCCATTTCTATTGACAAAAGCCAGACTCACATTTTGATAGAATAGTAGGAACAGTATCATTTTGATAGTAGTAGTAGTAGTGTTTTATTGGCTCCCTCTGTCAAATTTTACACTATGTGCTTATTTTCCAAGCCCTTTTTTTCTTAAGACATCTATTTCTGTCCCAGTTGCTCCAAATAGGATTGTTATCCTCGCATCTACTTACAGCCTGTTGCTTGAATTTAATCTAGCATTACTTGAAGCATGTTTCTTTAAAGGCAGAATTTGCTATCAGAGGTTTCTGGGCAGTGGCTTTTATTAGGGATGTCACATCAAATAGAATAATAAGTACAAAATACATGAATCTTGCAGAACAGACTAAAAATTTAACCACTGCTTAAAAGGTAAAAATTACTAAGGTTTCCTTTTGGGGCAGAATAAAATGGTACATAGACACCTGAGCCTGGGCTTTCTAATAACCATCAGGAGTGCATGGTGAAACACTCCTGCTGATGAATTTTGCTCTTCTTGCTGGATATCAGTCAGATCTTCACTGGCTTAGGAAATCTATGAATACTGTACAAGTTAACACTATGAAATCCCTCCCTGGGACTCCTCCCTGGTGCAGGAAGTGAAGATGAGTAGAAACTAGGGCAAGCTAGGGAGATAAATAACAAGTTAGAAGGTTAATTGGCAGCATGAAGTTGTGTCAGGACAGGTTTAGGTTGGATCTCAGGAAAAGGTTCTACCCCCAAAGGGTGGTTGGGCACTGAACAGGCTCCCCAGGGTTTGGTCATGGTCCCAAGGCTGCCAGAGCTCAAGGAGTGTTTGGACAACGCTCTCAGGGACAGGGTGGGATTGTTGGAGTGTCCTGGGCAGGGCCAGGAGTTGGACTGGATGGGTCCCTTCCAGCTCAGCATACTCTATGATTCTATGCTACAAGCACTCGAACTTGCTGTGTAGCTTGGATGTTAAAGCTCCACAGAACCCAAGGGAAGGTTTGGCTCAATAAGGAGGTGGTGACAATTCCTCAGGGGCAGGCAGCCTCAGCAGCCCTGCTGAGGGAGGGGATTTCCTTCATGAGGGAAGCAGGCAGTGGGATAGACCAGACGCAGCATTCTACTGCCAGCCCTGTATCTCTCCTGTAGAACACTGCCTGGAGGAGCTGATTGCCCCTGGACTTTGCAGGCTTCCCAGATGACACAGAGCACTCTGTGCATTTTGATTCTCATCGCTTACTCCGTGTGTTTCCTTTGAGTGAGGTGGCATTGCCTGTGACTCTGGAAGCCAAGCATGTCCTTCACACCGCCCTATGCTCTGCCTGGGTATGGCTGGAGTGCTGGAGTTGAGCTTTATTACAATATTCCCTCTTTGGAAAATCTCCCATGGGCTCTGTGCAAACATTCTTCCCCATCAGGGAAGGCTTAACACAGTGAATGTTGTTTAACGAGTACAAGAGCAGCCAGATCATGACAGTAGCCCTGGCCGTCCTCCTTTACCATTGCTTCCAACCCTTGCACCCCAGACTTTATATACCAGTAGAAGCTTGCTGTTGAAGAAAATGTGAACACGGTGCTGTGCTAAAGAATCATACCAGGGGTACTTAATAGCTCAGAGCACACAGGGAGCAAGTGGATCAGGCTCTCTGTAGCTGGCTGGATGAGTTGCTCACTGTTACTCTTGGTATTGAGCCCCTTAAGATTTGAAACAGACTTTGCAATTTTTTTTTTTCAGTTGTTAATCAGCAGCTGTAGATGGACAATTACGATTAAGCCATTGCATTGTGAATGTTGTATGCTTGGCTAATCTTTTAAGGAAAAGGGCAGACAATCCAAGATTAGGGGCTGTCTGGAGAGAGCCCCCAGGAGTGAAGTCAGCAGGACTGAGCACTAACCAGGGGAAAGGAATTCTGGCAGTGGGAGATCAGGACCATCCACCCATTGACCACCTCCTCAGAACAGACCTCAGACTGAAACGCAGAGAACTGCACCTGTGGGCTAAGAAACGAGAGACATAACTAGCAAATAAGGGCTTAGGTACTCATGAAATGGAACTTGTAATCAAGGAATGCTGATGCCTCTGTTGAAGCGTGTAAATAGTGTAAAGATTTGACGATCGTTGAGCCAGCCTTTGCTTTGCGCAGACCAGAGTAACACACAGAAACCCCTCGGCTCGGTGTGTGAATCAGCGCTGCGAGCCCGCGTTCTGGACAACACTCTGGCACTTAATAACAAAAAAACAAGGCAGCCAAGGCCGTGCGAAAGCACCGACACCGGCTTCACCGGCACAAAACCCCTCACACAAACCCCCCGCCCGTGTCTCGCCTGCGCATGCGCGGGCCGGGGCGGTGCTGGGCGGGGGCAGCTCTCGCGAGACTTGGGTGAGGGGCGGTGGCGCCGAGGCGATTTGAACGGCGGGAGCGGCGCCGGTGAACAGTGAGGGCGGTGAGGGGGCAGCGGGCAGGAGGGGGGAGCGGGAGCGGGCAGGAGGGGGCTTGTCCTCTCCCTCTGGGGCTGCCTCGGTCGTGCTGCCGGTGCCCACCCCTGTCCCTCGGGGCGGGGAAGGTGGTTTGCTGCCCTACGGCCCCCGGTAGAGCGGGGGGAGCCTGCCCTCGGTGTCCGTTTGGGCCATACCGGGTGAGGACGGGCGGGTGGGCGGAGGGGG